CCCCAAAACCCCAAAACCCCAAAACCCCGGGACATACAACAACTAAAATTATTTATAAATGCATATTAATAAATTGTTAAATAATTCATCTATTAACATGGAAAAAGTGACTTTAAAAGATTATGGATCGATTGAGGAAGATAGCCTATAAAGCTACTAAGGAGAAGATCTAATGTTCTAAGAGCAACTTGATATTACATAATTCAACATGAGATCTCATTCATTGAGTTACATCGACTCTCAAAACGAATATTTTTAATCTCCAAAGTCTCAAGAAAACTATCAAAAAGATGGAGAGTCATTACAGCTTCTTAGTGCATAAAATCATAGACCTACAGCTCTAAGCGCATCAAGATCATCCATCGGCCAATATTATAAAGAGAGAAGTTCCATATCCTTTACTTCGTTGTTCAATGTCAAGAGATTAATAGTAAAAGCTCCTAATGGAACTTATCAGTATGGTATGCTACATTGCTGATTAAAACTTATATTTAGCTCGTAATCCTTCTAATGGAAATGATTCGTTTTGTTAAATGCAAAAGAATGAAAAAGAAGTTGATCTCAATGAGGAACGAATGTCTATGATGGATGAAGAATTATAGTTTATTCTCGAAAATTTTGAGTTTTCTCCGGATATTGCTGATGATGTAAAAATTTATTCTCCCTAATATTCAATTAAAGTTACTTGGTGATTACTTTTAAAACAGGAGATTTTTCTTCTTCATAGTTGTTGTCCAGTTTTTCTTTTAGATTTATATTGCTTCGATGACATGGGCTGACAGAGATCTTATTTTCCTTAATGTAACATTCTTTGCAAATATTCTAATTAGTTGAACAAAATGTATAATCGAAATTTCAACGGAACAGGAGTGCAAAAATTTTTATATTCAGTTATTTTCCTTGATATGATTATGAACGTAGTTGCTCTTGTTGCAGGAATGCATGCCTATAAAAATCATTCGATAAAATCTTATAAGTCATTTTCAATGGTCTATGGAATGTGCATAATCAGCAGAGTCATGCTATCTTATTTGAATTCGTAAGCTTATATTAATTTTACTTAATCAGTTGGAATGTAATAATGTTCATTTTTATGCTCTTCACCTATACATTTTCCAGATATATGATTGCCTTGATATATGGACTATGTCTTGTGCCTTAATAGCATTAGCAAACTGCATAGAGATAATCTAATTATCTAAACAGGCTAAACTAACACTAATCTCCATTACACAATAGAATCAACTGATCATTTTATTTTACTTCACTCTTAATTTTTCTATTTTAATTTACAATTTAATATTCCTCTGGATGGGGTTTTGGGGTTTTGGGGTTTTGGGGTTTTGGGG